TGCCAATTCGGGTCCTGCTTAAGACTAAAGGCCACAAAATGAGAGACAAACACCGGTGAGGTGCACCATGGGAAGCTCAGGGGCAGAGGATAACAGGAACTGCCAGATGTCCAATATCACAATCCCCTCCGGACATGCCATGTGGCACAGCCGGGCCAGGTGCACATCTGTGGCAGCAAGATCTTCCCGAATTTCCCTGACATGCTGAAAAGTGCCCCCATGTGAAAGAGCATGAGAAAGAAAAACAAAGTCTCAAGGGGCCAGCTGTGGAAAAGGTCCATGTGGCCCCGAGTGGAAGAAGGTATAGAATGGGACACGGAAACATCTTCCAGAAGGGAAGATAAATTTATCTGTTGAATTGGGGGGTGGATGGGGGAAATAAATGAAGGGGATTAAGAGTACACTTATCATGATGAGCACGGAGTAACGTATAGAATTGTCGAGTCACTGTATCGTACACCTGAAACTAATATAACACTGTATGTTGACTAGACTGGAAGTAAAATTTTTAAAAAAGAAAAAGAATGGTCTGTTGGACAGAACTTTGCCCTTATTTTTTTCTTTTAATTTATCTGGGCTGGGGATGGAGGGTGTGCATGCTTCTGTGTATATCCTAGGTTCTAATCTCAGGATGAGTTTACTCCCCCCGGGGACATTTGGCGTTCGGCAATGCCTGGAGACATTTTTGGTTGTCACAATTTCGGGGAGTGCTCCTGGTGTCTAGCGGACAGAGGCCAGGAATGCTGCTAAACATCCTAGTAAGCACAGGTCAGTCCCCCACAACAAAGAATTATCTATCCCAAAATGTCAATAGTGATAAGTCTGAGAAACACTGCCCTAGCCCAGCAAATCTAGCTAGCAGAGAATTTCAGTGAGAAAAGTTGAGTTCCTTTCTTTTTTTTTTCCTTTTAAGTAAACTGTGCCCAACGTGGGAATTGAACTCACAGTCCTGAGATCAAGAGTCACAAGCTCGACTGACTGAGCCAGCCAGGCAAACCTGAGTTTCTTTCTTGAAGGGAAAACGTATGCATTTATGTTTGCTTTTTCTTTTTAAAGTGGTGGCTTTAATCAAAACTAATTTTAAGACAGGGTGAGATGAGACTGGGGACAGACATGTCAAGATAAAGGGTTTTCTAAGTAATAGTGTGATAAGATCTCTGGTCTAGAAAACTCACTGTAGGGGCGCCTGGGTGGCTCAGTCCATTAAGTGCCTGCCTTCAGCTCAGGTCATGATCCCAGGGTCCTGGGATCGAATTCCGTATCAGGCTTCTTGCTCAGCAGAAGCCTGCTTCTCCCTCTGCCTACTGCTTCCCCTGCTTGTGCTCTCTCTCTCACTCTCTCTCTCTCTCTCTGACAAATAAATACATAAAATCTTTTTTAAAAAATAGAAAACAGTAGGAGTAACTCTGGGGTTGGGTGATCTCCAAAGACCTCATCTGAGAATCTCCTCTCTCTCAGCCCTTACGGTCCCTGCCTCATTATTCTTCATCTAGGACACTTCCACAGTTTCCTTTCTGACCTTCCAACTCCCGGCAGTCACCTTTTCAAGGTCACCTTCATTTCTGAAGAGTATTTTCATGGATATAGAATTCTAAGTTAATGGTACTTTTTTTCTTTCGGCACATATAGAGACGTATTTCTATAATCATCTGGATTCTCAGGTTGTTTCCATGTCTTGGTTATTGTAAGTAATGCTGCAATGAACTGGAGGGTACAGATATCTCTTTAAGCTGGTGATTTCTTTCCCTTTGGGTATATATCCAGAAGTGATCGATCAAGTAGTAGTTCTATTTTTAATTTTTTGAGGGGCCTCCATACTGTTTTCCACAGTGGTTGTACCACTTCATATTGCCACCAACCGTGCATACGGGTTCCCTCTTCTTTGTGTCCTTGCCTGCATCTGTTGTCTTTTTAATAGTAGTCATTCTAACAGGGGTAAGGTATATCTCACTGTGTTTTTGATTTGCATTTTCCTGATGATTAGAGATGTTGAGCACCTTTTCATGAACTTGTTCATTTGTATGTCTCCCATTTTTCTTATTGGATTTTTGGGGGGTTTTTTGTTTGTTTGTTTTTAGCTATTGAGTTGTGTAAGTTCCTTATATAGTTTGGATATTAACCCCTTAACAGAAAGATGGTTTGCAAATATTTTCTTTGATTCCATAGGTTCTCTTTTCATTTCATTGATAATTTCTTCTGTTGTGAAGAAGCTTTCTAGTTTGCTATAGTTGATTTTTGTTTTTGTTGCTTGTGCTTTGGTGCATATCCAAAAAAAATCATTGCTAAGACAGATGTTAAAGAACTTTTTCCTATGTTTTCTTCTAGGAGTTTTATGGTTTCAGGTATTATGCTTAAGTCTTTAATCCATTTCAAGTTAATTTTTGTAAATGGTATAAGATAGGGGTCCAATTTCATTCTTGTGCATGTGAATATCTAGTTTTCCCAACGCAATCTATTGAAGAGACTGTCCTTCCCCCATTGAGTATTCTTGACTTGTCAAATATTAGTTGATCAAAATGAATTTCTTAATGTGAGTCTTGGTTAGAAAAGTTTGAAAGCCAGTGGTCACATGAAGGAGACCCCTTAGAAAAAATTACATTAAATTTGGAAATACAGCAAAACAGTATAGCATGACCTTTCAGTGTCACACTAGAACAATGTTTAGGAGGCCCAATCTCTGTCCAATAGGACTTGCTGTGATGATGGAAATATTCTAGATGTGTGTTGCTCAATATATCAGCCACAAGCTACATATGGCAACTAAATACTAGAGATGGGGCTAGTGCGACTGAGGGATTGAATTTTTAACTTTTTAAATTTTAATTAAAATTGAAATGTAAATGGCCAAAACTAGAGGAATGTATCTATTCCCCTTAGAAAAAATTCCAAAGGCTATGGTTGTATTGCCCTGTAGAACATTGACCAGTTTTGTATATAATCCAGCAGTCTTATCCTAACTTTGTTTTCTTTCTTTTTTTTTTTTTTTTAAGATTCCATTTATTTTTTGACAGAGAGAGAGAGACAGTGAGAGAAGGAACAAAAGCAGGGGGAGTGGGAGAGGGAGAGGAGGAAGCAGCAGGCCTCCCCTGGAGCAGGGAGCAGGGAGCCCCATGCGGGGCTCAATGAGGGGCTCGATGCAGGGCTCGATGCGGGGCTCGACGCGGGGCTCAACGCGGGGCTCAACCCCAGGACCCTGGGATCATGACCTGAGCCGAAGGCAGACGCTTAATGACTGAGCCACCCAGGCGCCCCTTATTCTAACTTTGTTTTCTTTAAATGCCTGTGAATACCTGGTACCTCAAAATGCTCTTTAAACCACCTTTACCATTTAACTGGCTCCCTGAAGGACTTAAGGGGCATCTTTGACATGTGTCCGTTCATATTAAAGAGAATTCTGTTTTTAATTTTTTGAAAATTATGTCAACAAAACAATGTAATAAGTGCAACAGGAAAGGTATGCAATGAAATCAGGACCAATTTTCTCTTTGCCTAAACTCTACCTGGGGTAAGTGTAGTGATTGGAAAAGCTCCATTGAACTGTCCTAGAAGGTGATTTCAGAGCTGTGTCTTAGGAGGCAATATAGGCTTTTATTAGGCAAATGAAGTGAGAGTGAACCTCTAAGCAAAAGAAACTGCTCAGAAGTAGTTCACAATTCCTGTAATCTGGGGATGGGGGTGGGGGTTGCCTGGGTTAGAGGAATAACAGGTGAAACTGGACAGGGAGGGTGGCAGCATGGTGTAGTGGAAAGGCACACTGGCTTCATTCAGGAGACAGTTTTGCATACTAATTTTATCTTAAAATTGGCTAATTTGGCTCTTTGTGCCCATTTCCACAACTGTAAATTGGGAGTGTTAATGACTTCTCCATGGGGTGTTAGGATTAAATTAGATAACCACAAAAAAGTGCGTTGTCTGGTGTGCTATAGATGTTTAATAAATTGTAGTTATTATTTCTAATGAGAGAGTGGTCAACAGTTCAAATGGTGCTAAGTTTAAATAAGATAAAGGTGTAAAATAATCTATAATTGGCTTTCCTAATTAGGAAGTTATTAAAGACTCTGGGAAGAACAGCTTCAAAGGAGGAGGGACAGAATGTGTTGAGAACTGGATGGGAGGTGACAAAGGGAAGAGAGAGGACTCCTAGTCCTTTCAAAAGGCTTGTAGTAAATGGGAGAGAGGTGATTCAATTCAGCAATTATAAGATGAGAGATTCTGGGGGGTTTTGTTTTGTTTTGTATTAGACTGAGGAAACTTGGATATTTTGTATCCTAAGGGTAGAGAATGGAAGAAGAAGCCCGAAGATAATGAAGAGGGGATGGTTTAGAATAGGATTAACAGCAAGTGAGACAGAAGGGAAAGACATTGAAGACACAGAACACATGAAGAAAATGGAGCAGAGGAAAATGTCAAGTCCATGTTTGTCGGCTTTTAATGAGCATAGGTCTGTCGTGGAGGGAGTTGGAGGAGAAGGGGAAGATGGACGCACACTTTGCATCCCAGAAAGCCTCTGACAGCCAAAGTACACAGGAGATTCTTCCAGTCTGCAAGGACCGCTTGCGGACATTTCAAAGGAAAGCAGGAAATTCCTTCCAAACATTTAACTTAATACGGGGGGAGATGGGGGCCTAGAAAAGACGAGATGTCAAAGTGTAGTCTTGGGAACGTAGCCGTTGGGTCACAAAGGCCTAAACAACTGCCGAAATCAAGGACAAATACATAAATTTAGTAACTTGCGTTTTAGAGACAGAAATTAAGCGAACCAAGACAATTTCAAACCCCGCCCCAAGTCCTGTCAATCATCCCCTCTCCATCTCTTGATTGGTCAGTGCTGTGCAAAGGCTCCGGATTAAACGTGTTTATTTTAATATTGATTGGCATGAGAAAGAATCCATTTGTGCCCAGCGATTGGCTGACCTGTCTAGGCTCCGACCAATCCTGAAAGGGGCGGGCTGGTTAAGCGTCCGGTTTCTCCGAGCGGCTTTCTTTGGAAGCACTGGGCAGGCTAGAGACTGGCCCTTTTCACCTCTCCGGCCCTAAACAGGAGCTAATGGAGCTTTCTTACCAGACCCTCAGATTCACGCACCAGGCACGGGAAGCGGTAAGGAAAGCATATACAAAAAAAGAACTGTACTAGGAACTCTTCTCTCCTGTTGCTACGGGCCGATTTGTGCGTCCCCCGGTTGCTATGGCGACACAGGCCCCCCCCCCCCTCCCCGCCGAGTGGCACAAGCGCAGGGAGGGTTCTTAGGCCCCACTGGTCAAGTCCAGGGCTGGGTTTGAGGCTGTGATGGGAATAGGATGGGTCTGGGACCGAGGGCGGTTTGGGAGTGCCTACGGGTTTGATGAAAGGGACCGCAGTTCGTGACTTAGGAAACGGTGTGGTGTTTATTAGACCGGCTGTCCTGATGGGTGAGCAGGTGCGGGGAGTGGTTAAAAGGAAGACTGTTGAAAGGCAGGGCGGCTCTGACCTGGGAGTTGGGACCCTGGGTTCTGATCCTGATTCTCCACTTACCAAGGCTGAGGGACCTTAGGTATTTAATTCCCTCCTCGGGCTTCAGTTCTGGGACTCTAACCCTTTTCACACGAAGATTACATGACCTTTACAGGTCATACGATGGTTTCTGTTGTACCATCTGCTAACTGCCCAGCAGTACTTTACACAACAACGCCCATGAATTGAGGACATACATACTCAATGCCAGGCACTGGGGAAATAAAAACAATGCTTTGGGGAGGAGGGAGGATAAATAAAATTAAAGTTCAAAAAAACTACTGCTATCTGGGCCCCCACCTCTAGAGATTCTGATTTACTGATTTTGGGTACATTCTGTGCATCAACTTTTTTTTTTTTAAGCCCAGCAGGTGATTACAGTGTGTAGCCAAGGTTATGAACCACTGCCCTAGTGTCTCTGACCTTAAAAAACAAACAAACAAACAAACAAACAAACAATACAGAAGAAGAGATAACCCTCTGGTTGTCCTCACATTCCCCTCTACCTACCAACCTCTCTCTATTTCTCTCCAGCTTCTGGAAAGGGTTGGTGTTCCTCAAGCTTGTATTGTCCTCAAGCCTATTTCAGTCTAGCCCAAATTACCCATATATAGAACATTTTGCATTGACTTTTAATAAAGCAGATTCCTGGACCTCCGCAAGACTTACTGAATCAGAAACAATCTGGGATGGGGTCTTGAAAAGTGCATTGTAAACACATACCCAGGTTTGAAAACCACTGCCCTAAATGGTCTCATATATTTTCATGATTTCCAATAACATTTATATGCCAACAACCCCCCATCCCCTAAACTGACTCTAGAGTGGATTTCTTTGCTGGGCCCCAAGCCCACATGGTGTCCTAGAAGGTGGAATACAGAGAGGACAATGAATCAACTGATTACTTGACAAATCTAGGGGCATATCTCAAGAATCTGCATCTTTTTTTTTTTTTTTAAGATTTTATTTATTTGACAGAGAGAGACAGCGAGAGGGAACACAAGCTCGGAGAGTGAGAGAGGGAGAAGCAGGCCTCCCGCCGAGCAGGGAGCCCGATATGGGGCTCGAACCCAGGACCCTGGGGTCATGACCCGAGCCAAAGGCAGACACTCAACGACTGAGCCACCCAGGCGCCCCAAGAATCTGCATCTTAATTTGTTCAATATCTAACTTTTTGCTTCCCTTCTAAAACCTGTACCTTTCCCAGTCTTCCTCCACCTGGGAATGTGAAACCACCATCCACCAATTGCCCAAATCAGAATTCTGGGACTATTCCTTAGCTCCTTCCTCCTAGTCCCTCCCTTATGTCCTCCTATAAGGAAGACAGCAGCAAATCTTATTGATTCTACTTCTATAATAGGTCTTTAAACATCCTTATCTCTGCCCCTGAGATCCTAATCCAATCCACCATAATCTCTTACATATACACTGCAGTAGCCTCCTAACTATTCTTCCTATTGGTTTTTGCCTCCCTCTAGTCCATGTGATCTTCTTAAAATTGTGTCACTCCCTAGCTGGGATCCTTTTATTGGCTTTTCATTACAGTTATGATAAAACCCCCAAACCTTGACGTGACCTACAGAGCACCGCAATGGTGTAGCCCAATTTCCGCATCCAGTCTCTTCTTCACCACTTTCTGCTTTGCCTCCCACTGATCCAGGCACATTCTCTTTGATCTGACATGTCTCTGAACTCCACATATTCTGTACCATACAAGTTAGTATTTAATTGTGATTAATTTTTTTAAGGTTTATTCATCTACTTGGGGGGAGGCAGAGGGAGAGAGAAAGAATCCTGAAGCAGACTCCCTGCTGAGCAGGGAGCCCAACGTGAGGCTCCATCCCAGGACCCTGAGATCATGACCTGAGCTGATTTCAAGAGTTGGATGCTCAACCTACTGAGCCACCCACGCACCCCTAATTTTTTTTAAAGTAGGCTCCACACGGGGCTTGAACTTACAACCCTGCAATCAAGACCTGAGCTGAGATCAAGAGTCAGCTGCTTAACCAACTGAGCCACTCAGGTGCCCCTAATTTGTGGTTAATTTATGTTACTGCTTCGTGCATGTGACATAGCCTGTCAAACAATTCATGTAACTTGAAGGCAGATCCACTTTCATTTTTTGTTTTATTCCCTAGATGGCGCTGAGAGACATACTTAGGTATGGCCATTGATGGCTTGATTTTGCAGGGGGTGTAAATGCAAGGAGTTGTGCTGATTAGGGGTCTGCAGAAGGAAGAAGGTGGAGGTAGGTGCGGTGATCTGGTGAACTGACTATAAAAAGGATTGCATGTCCACAAGCAATTTTGATCATCTACATCAACTACTGTATTAGGATTTCCAGAATACTTCCTTTTTATTTGGTTTATTTTTATTGTTGTTTCAAATTATACATACATATACAATTGCTCTGAGATCTTCAATTTCTCCAGGGAGAAATCCTCTACCCGCTCCTATAGGAATAAGGGCACAATAAACTTGGTTGCCACCATTGTTGGAGTTAAACAGGGGAAGACAGCTCTGTGTGAGGTGGGGGATTTCTCCTCACTATTCAGTGCACAGATTATGCTTAATTACTCCTTCCCTAATTACATAATTGCATACTTAATTACTTTTTCCTTTCCAAAGTTTGTGTGGTTGAGTTTCTTCTCAGAGTAAATGTCCAATCTTCAGCCAGAGTAGGGGAGGAATTGTCACCTGATTGGGATGGGGAAGGGAATCGCTTATACTTTGTTCAGCCTGCTCCTCATTATTTCTGTCCTTAGAAGTGCCTGGTGACTCCACAAGTACCCAGTGCACTCAGTTCCTGTAATTGTCTAGGGCTCTGTCATACTTAGGTGCTTCTTGTTGACTACTTTCTCTGTAGGTGTTGGTTTTCTTTGATTTTGGTTGTCTTTTGCTTTTGTCTTTCTGTGCTCTCTTAAGTCAGCTGGCATTTATCTAATTGCTTTCCATTTGTCAATTTTATTGTCATATTTGTTGTCACTTCCTCTTCTAGGGTCTTTGTCCTTTTTTCCCTCCATCCATTTCTGCTCTAATCTTAATTATTTCCCTCCTTCTCCTGGCTTTTTTTTTTGGAATTTGTTTGTTCTGTTTCTAGCTCCTTTAGGTATAAGGATAGGTTGTTAATTTGAGATTTTGAGACTTTTCTTGCTTCTTGAGGTAGGCCTGTGTTGCTATAAACATCACTCACATTTAATGCAATCCCTATCAAAATACCATCAACATTTTCCAAAAACTGGAACAAACAATCCTAAAATTTGTATGGAACCACGAAAGACCCCGGATAGCCAGAGGAATGTTGAAAAAGAAAAGCAAAGCTGGAGGCATCACGAGTCTGGACTTCAAGCTCTATTACAAAGCTGTAGTCATCAAGACAGTATGGAACTGGCATAAAAACAGACACATAGATCAATGGAACAGAATAGAAAAACTCAGAAATGGACCCACGACTATATGGTCAACTAATCTTTGACAAAGCAGGAAAGAATATCCAATGGAAAAAGACAGTCGCTTCAACAAATAGTTTTGGGAAAACTGGACAGCGACATGCAGAAGAATGAAACTGGACCATTTTCTTACACCATACACAAAAATAAATTAAAAAATGTGAGATAGGAAACCATCAAAATCCTAGAGGAGATTATAGGCAGCAACCTCTTTGACCTCAGCTGTAGCAACTTCTTACTAGACACATCTCTGGAGGCAAGGGAAACAAAAGCAAAAATGAACTATTGGGACTTCATCAAGGTAAAAAGCTTCTGCACAGTGAAGGAAACAATCAACAAAACTAAAGGGCAAGGGGTTTTCAATATTATTAATTCTTTCAAAGAACCAGCTCCTTTGTTGATCTATTTTTTTTTTAATTTCTGTATCATTGATTTGTTCTCTAATCTTTACTATTTCTCTTCTCCTGCTCGATTTAGGCTTTATTTGCTGTTCTTTTTCCAGCTGCTTTAGGTGTAAGGATAGATTGTGCATTTGAGACTCTTCTTGTTTCACAACCAACACCAAAGAAATACAAACATTTATAAGAGAATATTATGAGCAATTTTATGCCAACAAATTAGGCAATCTGGAAGAAAATGGATGCATTCCTAGAAACATATAAATGACCAAAACTGAAACAGAAAGAAAGAGAAAACCTGAACAGATCCATAACCAGCAAAGAAATTTGAGCAGTAATCAAAAATCTCCCAACAAACAAGAGTCCAGGGCCAGATGTCTTCCAGCGGAATTCTACCAAACATTTATTTTTATTTTATTTTTTTTAAAGAATTTATTTATTTATTAGAGAGAGAGAGAGAATGAGAGATAGAGAGCACGAGAGGGAGGAGGATCAGAGGGAGAAGCAGACTCCCCGCTGAGCAGGGAGCCCGATGCGGGACTCGATCCCGGGACTCCAGGATCATGACCTGAGCCGAAGGCAGTCGCTTAACCAACTGAGCCACCCAGGCGCCCTCTACCAAACATTTAAAGAAGAATTAATACCTATTCTTCTGAAGCTGTTTCAAAAAATAGAAATGGAAGGAAAACTTCCAAACTCTTTCTATGAGGCCAGCATTCCCTTGATCCCAAAACCAGACAAAGACCCCGTCAAAAAGGAG